ATATATATAAAAGGGATTTCCATCCATGCTTTGTTTTAAATTAATTAATTAATGAACTTAATCAAGCTATTATCATAATCCAATTAGCTGTTTTCGAACTAATTAATTGTGATTTCTTAGAATAAGATGAAGATTGCAATCTCTTGGATAAACCAAAGTTTTATTTGTTGCATATACAGTGTATGTATTTTTATAATTTATACGTAACCTAAGAATTGTATTATACCGATTTCGATGTAGTTATAGTAACGTATCAATTACATCGTAACCTGCAAAAAGCTATTACCAGTACAAAGATTCTTAGTATACGGCAAGGGCTCGATCTTATCTTATCATATACATAGTGCCAAGAATTGTTTCTTCATATGGTGACGTACGTAATTCACACATTGCTTTCTTGATTATTATTTTTGTTATGAAGAATTTACACATTTCTGTATTGGCCTTTTGGAAAACATTTTTCTTAATCTTTTTGTATTCAGTGATGAGATATGTTTTACAATTACTTTTTATATTAATTGAAATTAAATTCTCACAATAAAGAGTCTTAAAAACACATCTTCTATCTATTTATTGCATTCTAAGAAAATAAATTATTGAAATTTCAGAATTTAAACTTAAAAATAAAAGCAAATTTTATTGATTACTAAATTAACCGGCCAACCCTCTAGGATTTTTAATTTGTTGTATAGTCTATATTAAAACTCATCTGTTATTATAGTAACAATTATTTTTAAAATATTTTTTTATTTAAAAATATTATATTAAAATTATTTAAAAACCAAAAAAAATGAAATAAAAATAAAAATAAAAATAAAAAATATATCTTTTTTTCTTTCAATAACTCAAAAGCTAATAGATTCTTAATCTAACTAGCTCTTTGTATTTGACCTCGTAGCCCTGCAACACAAAATCATTGCAAATGTAATTAAAAACAAGAGAGAGATCAGTTTAACAGTCTTGTTCTAATCGGACATGTTTTTGTCTTAGATATCCTATGATCTGCCATGGTTTTAGGAACAAAAATGACATGAGAATTAATCAATTAGTCAATGAATGAAGCAAGATCAAACATTAATTATAGAAATTAATCCCAACATGCATTACCAAAGATTTCATTATCTTAAATATTGGATTATGTGGACTACATTAAATATTGGATTCCATCATAATACAGATAATTTATAAATTAAAACATGGGGAATTCTTAAATATAAATTCATATTTAAGTTCCAAGTTTGAACACAAAAAAAAAAATAATGTGGATATATAAAATTAATTTATTTTATAAGTTGTCATTATTGTTTTAAAAAACCTAGATTAATCTGGCATATCAATTTAGGACATGATTGATTTGTGATATAGACTGATTTAAAATAAAAAAAAACTAAAAAAAAAACTAGTTAATTTAGGTCTGAATCAATTTGAGTTAAAAAAATCTAATTGGTTTAATTAAAACTTGATGATTAAATTATTAATTTTATTTAAAAAATAATTGATCAAGATTAGCCTGAATTATATTTTAAAGCTATAGTTGCTGTTGAGTAGTTTTTTTTTTGTGTGAAATTGGGATATATATATATATATATATATATAAAGGAAACCTAAAGAGAAAAAAGAAAAGCTTTAGCTAAAATAGATTGTAGCCACGGGCAAAGTTTATCAACAAGAAAAAAAGATTAGTAATTTATTACCGAGTAGTCTAAAAATATTTATATAAAATAAAGAAAAACTAAAAATGTCAACACACTTTCAAATCAAAGCAACAAATCCGTTCATACTAATCAATTTCTACAAACAATGTAGATAGACAGTATAGATTAAAATACTGTAATTATCTTTTATTTAATGCCCAATTAATAAAATTAATTAATCATCAATGTCTTCTTTTGTCATGCATGATGCATGGAGAGATTGTCGAATATTCTTTTTTGGGATGGCATGAGGAAAGGTACGTACCTGCCATGACCGTCCAGTGATTAAAAATTAGAGATATTTATTATTCTATTAACTAATTAAATCGTAAGCCAATCAGAGATATTCGTTTCCCATGCCACCTGAGGAGGTGTCAGATCTAGTGACAAATTAAACTAATCGTCGTTGTATTCCCTCCTCTGTGGTCACAATGGCATGGACTTATGTTAAAATATTATTTTAATATATTAATAGATTTTTCAGAGGTTTTTATTGTTATGATGCATATGTTTTTTAAAATATTTTTATTTGAAAATATATTAAAATAATATTTTTTTAATTTTTTAATTTTTGAAATTAATATATTAAAATAATAATGAAAACACTAAAAAATATTAATTTAAAAATTTTACAAAAATAAAATTTAAAATTTAAAATTATATAGCCTAACTACACTCCCTAACACTGAAGAAATGATAAGCATGAAGAACTACGGTTTACCTTCAATGTCTTTCATTTTAATAGCTAGCAATTTGAGTGATTGCTATAATATATAATAATAGCTCAATATTATATAATATTGTGGTTCATTTACTTTATAATTTTTTTTAATTTAAAATATATCAAAATAATATGTGTGTGTTATAATATTGTGGTTCATTTACTTTATAAAAATGTTTTAAAATTTAAAATATATCAAAATAATATGTGTATATATATATATATTAAAAATATTAAAATGGTTTAAAAATATCTAAAAATATCAATTTAATATTTTTTAGATAAAAAATAATTTGAAAAATACTTTAAAAAATAAGTTGAAACACAAAAATAAGCATTCTATAGTTTTCTATAAAAATAGATACATAAAAGATATTTTAATATATTACAAATTGGGTTGTAGAAAGTGTTTGTTCTATCTTTAAACTTCAAATTAAATAACTTGCTTAAAATTTAATGATTTTATCAAAATATTCTCTTAACTTGTTTTATCCATAAGAATTCTTTTATTGTTTTGATAAACTAAAGGTACGTATTGTTATTGTTGCTGATGTACAATAGTAATTAATATTAGTTACGGGAAAGAAAAGATTTAGTCGACAGTAATTATGCCATTGACAGTTTTGGCCTGTGAATATGATTCATCGATCGATTTGATTTGTTGATAATAATAATAATAATAATTAATTTAGTGCAATTAATTTACAATATTATTTAAGTGGGAAAGATGGATAAGATTAAGAGAGAGTGATGGCAACATTTGCAGCCCAAAGTCTTCTTGCATGCATTGTTTTGTTCTCCTATAGTTCTTGAATCATTAACGTAACAACTATGCTACATATATATATATATATATATATATATATATATATAGACACAAACACATACGCAGACTTTTTTATTTCTTTGTTTATGCCATTGTCCTGCTACAGGATCTCCGACATGCCCCCTCAAATCAAACAACAAATGGCATAAACAAAGACATAAAAAAGTGTCACACCTTTTTATTTCCATTGTCCTGCCACAGGATCTCCGACATGCCCCCTCAAATCAAACAACAAAAATAGCATTGATCTTCCCTATTCTTTTATCTTATTCCAGTTGTTTGCTTATGAAGGAGATGAGGTAACTTTTTCCTCAGGGAAACCTTATCCGAACCCTTTTTTTAATGAAATATTCATTACTTTCTTCGAGATAAAATTAGTCATCAAACTAATCCACAAAACGAGCACTTTCCTTTGAGATGTGTAGCACTTGGTAAGTTATAGCATAATTTTTAGATTAGGTAAACGGTTCTATATAGAAGAGAAGAAAATAGTGGAGATAGACAAGAGATGTCTCCATGAACTTCTACTTCAAAAGAATAAATTCATACAAAAATTATCCTAGAAATATAGTTATTTTAAGTTCTTGTCTCCTTCATTCCAACCAAACATGTTTTATTCCTTTTATCTTGGGATATTAATCAAACGTAATCATAATCAATTGAAAGATATATTTTGTAGTTTAGTCTTTTAATATGTGATTATAATTTTTTGATTTAAACGACTTGAGGGTCTCAAATCAATCACAAATTATTTGTTTTTTAAGAGAACAAGAAAAAAAAAGGGTCATGAAATCTCAAATTTGAAACCCAAATTTGTGATTTTGGTGCCAATTTTTTGACAATTTGACTCTTTTGTTCTTTTTTTTGGCAATGATGCTCGATCTCGAGGGTTGAGATCATACAAAAAGAAATCCCTATATGGCTATAGAGGTAGTAATTAATTTGGTTATGAATTCAGGTCTTCTCGCATAATATATATATATATATAGTGAAACTAATCTACAATACTCTATTTTTTGATAATATATGGTGATAGCGTGTATGATTATACAAGATCAAGTTGCTTCAAACTTCAAAACTTGTTAGCAATCATTAATTATTGGTGAGTATGGAATATGGATTCAGCCTATAAATTTAGTCCTTAACCCTTCGTTGATTGGTTTGAACTTTGAATTTTGCATGCCTAAATACGTTGCCTGAACTTTTGGTAACTAAGATAGAAAAGGCCAAAGCATGAATCTACCTACCTATGCCTACACATTAATTAATTAGCAAACATAAATTTAGTGTTTTGAACATTGCATGAAATCTTGAGAAAAATATTCCTTTTGACAATATTATTTTACTAGGAAGGACAGCTTGACTAAAGTTAATATTAACCTTAATTGGATTGGATAACCATCAATCACAGTAAAGAAAAACAACAAATTAATTAACTTCGTGGGATTAAGATGTGTTTGCCTCTGCCAAGACAGTGCCGGATAAGGTGAAGAATTTCAATTAGACGGGAGATCGATCGAATTCCTCAAGGGAATGAAAATTTGTCTTCATTTGTTTTCTATATATAATCCAACTCCATAATTATAGTTAATGTTCTCATCATCACCCAATTAAGTTGTCAAACAAGGTGGTTTAATTGATCTCAGCCCTTCTTAGTTAGCCAAGCAATATGAGAGACTCTGAGTTCTTTCAGCTTCCAGGCCCACAATGCTACTCTAACAACATACAAGAGCATGACTATTCATATTTTGAACCATACATGGATGCTAATATACACCATTTTGAGCTCTCTCCTGATCCTCTCACAACAACTGGTTCCACTTCCAATGAATCGGTAGATTTTCCTGTTGATTCTGATTCAATGAATATTGATGAATATTCACCTCTTGATTTTGAGGAGTTTGTGCTCATTTGGAGGGACCAAAATGGGTTTTCAAAAGGTCTCGAGGAAAGTTGTTCTTTTCAACCATATTCTAGTGAAGGAGAGCTGACAGAAAAATGCAGCCCTAGCCTATCCACTATTTCGAGTGCTGGTGCAATATCAATATCAACCATGGATGCTTCTTTGATCCAGCAACCGCTAACCTCGCCAACAGGAGACATGGAGATTGATAATCAACTTAGTGTGCATCATCTAGTCAAGGCTTACAAAGAAGCCATGGAGAACAAAGAGGCAGAACTTGCAGAAGTGATCGCGAGAAGAATTAGCAAGAAAGTTGGTCCCACGGGGGAGATAGAGGAGCGCCTTTTGTATTATTCATTTCAACCCGTAGACAAGGAAACAGATTATCTTATGCAAGAATCTGCTAAGAACTTTGATAGGGCTTTGGAGGCATTCTATAAGATTTTCCCCCAAGGGATGATTTCTCATTTCACAGCTAACTCGGTCATTCTTGAGGCCAAGCCTCGTGATGCTGAGGTTCTACACATAATAGACTTTGATATGGGAGAAGGGATGCAGTGGTCTTCAATGATCATGGCTCTTGGTCGAAAACAAAAGGAGCTACAAGCACAACAATACTATGGTCATATTCCACACTACACGACCCTAAAAATCACAGCAATCAAGTGGAAAGACGAAGGTTCCGGTCATCATGCACCTTCATGGAGAAAGTTCGAGGAGACAAAAAGGAGGCTACATGATTGTGAAAACCCCTTTGGTTTAATATTGGAAGTGGAAGGGGTGGAGCTACAAGATTGGGCGAGGAAGATAAAGGGCAAGAGAAAAGGTGGAGAAAGGAGAGAATGGCTGTCCTTCAATTGTATGTGGGCTCTTTCCCAAATGGGGAGAAAGAGGAGTAGAAGGCATGTAGTGGACTTCGTTAGGACGGCCAAGGAAATATTAACCAGCATTTCTGTCTACAGCTATACTAGTAATGGAGGTATATTAACATTTGGTGATGGAGGAGCATGGGAATTATTCAAAGACTGTCCTGGTTTTGGATTTTTCTTTGACAATTGTATGGAACATTATCAAGCCCTGCTGGAATCAATCGAATGGAAGCCGCCCAGTTGCTTTATAGAGGCAAGAATAGCTATGGAATGCCTCTTTGTTGCACCTTATGCCTCTTCTAGGGCTTGGATACAAGAGTGGGAGGAAAGAGAACAATGTTGCGATTTTAAGACAGGATTTGGGCTTGAAGGGTTGCGACTAAGCAACGAGAGTTTATTGGAAGCAAAAGAAATGGTGAGAGAAGGAGAGGTCCCATATGCAGTGAGGATTGAAGGAGATAATTACAATGAGATGGTCTTGGAATTTAGAGGAACTCAATTGATCAAAATCTCTGCCTGGAAGTTATGATGTACTTTAGTTTCTTTCCACATTTTTCATTTTAAGTAGCTATTTTCACTCATTATTCATTTCATTAATTTTGAATATTAATGTAATCTAATAAGTTATTATAAGTGATAAACATATGATGTACAGTTTGTGAATATCAATGTAATCTATATAATTATTATTTTGATAGAGTATTATTGATTATCGACAAAGTTATAATCCATTCTTATTTAGACTGACTTTCTTAGCTCTAATCTAATGCCCTTATAACCCATCATTATAAATTATTTTTTATGGATTCAGCACCCTTCATCATCCCTTGACATGTCATAAACTATACGGGAACAAAAGATTCATGCTTGGTTTTTTCAAAAAAAAAAATATGATAAGAGTATGTTTAGGAAGTTGCAAGTTGATCTTAACTATCAAGATTTCATGGCCTCCACGATTTGTTTGTTTTTGTTGTTCTTGTTCTTTTCTATGATTGTTGAGGCTCAAAGTGTAGAGTTCATCTTCAATGGATTCAATGGACGTGAAAAAGACCTATCAATTGATAGAGCTTCTATTATCACGCCTACTGGTTTACTAAGGCTCACCACCAAAACACAAAATGCTGTAGGACAAGCATTTTATTCCAAACCAATACAGATGCTTAACACAAGTTCAAATTCATCTCCAAATGCTTCATCTTTCAGCACAACTTTTGTCTTTCAGATAGTCTCTCCCAAAGGAAAAGGAGGCTACAGCCTTGCTTTCGCCTTAGCTCCCTCCAACCAGCTTCCCGGGGCTGACGCGGAGCATTACCTTGGTCTTTTCAACCCTTCAAATAATGGTGATAGCTCCAACCATATTTTTGCTGTTGAATTTGACACTGTTAATGGGTTCAACGAGAATTCAGACACTGAAGGAAATCATGTCGGAGTCAACATTAACAGCATGCGTTCGAACTCATCGAGGGCAGCTTCCTATAGCGAGGGTGACAACGCAAACCTGTTTGAAGATTTGATGTTGGAGAGTGGTGAACCTATTCAAGCCTGGATAGAATATGATGGCGTGGCTAAACTTGTTAATGTAACAATAGGTCCCATGGGGCTAGGCAAACCGATTCAACCACTCATTTCTTATCCCGTAGATCTAAGCACAGTTGTTAAGGATAGCATGTATGCTGGTTTCTCTTCCTCTACTGGTAAAAAGACAAGCTCTCATTACATACTGGGATGGAGTTTTTCCACTAAAGGAGAAGCCCGTCCGCTCGATCTTTCTCTACTACCCGTCGCACCAATATTTGAGGACAGTTCTGTAGCAAATTGTCAACATTTTTTCTCAACCACCATCAACCACCCTCTCCTTTAACAACCACCATTCAACCACCATCAACCACCCTCAACCAAGTTGCCAAGGCTCTCCTATAAATAGAGATAAAGAGAGAGAAATGTAATAAGTGTAGTGAAATTGTGGTGAGAGCAAAAGGGTGAAAGTGTGGTGAGTGCAACTGTGAGAGTGAGAAAATACAGATTTGAGAGAAACACCGAGTGTAAGAGTGAAACACCCGGTTAAGTGGGATTGTACTGGGTTGAGTTGAGTGTTTGTATCATTCCTCCAATAATATACAATCTGCTGCCTCCGTGGACGTACCCGATTTTGGGGAACCACGTAAATATGTTGTTTGTGTTTTATTTGTGTTTGCTTTTGGTCCAGTATGCGCAACAATTGGTATCAGAGCATTAGGGAAGCTTGAACACTGAAAAAAAAAAACGTTTTTCAGCTCTCTGTTCAAAGTTGCAGAATTTTCAAAGTTCTCAGATCTTGATTTTGACCACCTGTGGAGATTCCTCTCGTCGATACGAGTCCGGCGATATAAAGATCATCAAAATCGGAGTTGAAACAAGCCCTGTAGAGCTCGCCGAAGTTTCGCCAGAAATCTGCCGGAAAAACCAGACAGTGCCGGAAATCTCACCTGAGAAGACAGCCACGTCATCCGACACGTGGCACTGAGTCAACATCCACGTCATCAACAGAGGGTCCACATTGCCATGTCATCAGACACATCATCTAACAGTGACAGAATATTCTCTTGACAGAATAAGAATATTCCGTTGACAGTAAGAGAATATTCCGTGACAGAATATTCTTCATCAGAGACAGAATATTCCTTCCCTGAGTTAACTCGATCAGATTGATTTTTTGGCCAACTCAGTGATGTTTTGACCGGTTTTAGGCCGAGTCAAGTTGGTTCCTAGCATTTTCAACCATTCCGGACGCAACCGTGGTTTCCGTTTTGTGAAACAGCACACCGAAGTTACTGTTTTGACTCTTTTGAGCATAAAAGTGCATGTTTTAACAATTTCGGGAGCCTATTTGTAATCCAAAGACATCCTAATGGCTGATATTCCAGAAGAAAGATTAGTGGGAAATGCTAGTATACCTCCACAATATATCCCGGTATCGAGTACCAAATTTGAGGTGGAGAAGTTTGATGGGAAGGGTAATTTTGGCATGTGGAAATGTGAAGTCATGGATATGCTTGTCCAAATGAATTTGGATTTCACTCTAGAAGATAAACCGGAGGATTTGGATGATAAAAGCTGGGAAAGGATACATCGGTTAGCTTGCAGTTCCATCCGACTTTGTCTTGTAAAGGATCAGAAGTACGCCTTTTCAAAACAAAACTCTGCAAAGGAATTATGGCAAGCACTGGAGGACAAGTTTATGAAGAAGAGTATAGAGAATCGTCTCTACTTGAAGAAAAGGATCTTCCGCTTTCAGCACAAGAAAGGTACTTCTATGAATGAGCATCTGAATGATTTCAATAAAATGATAGCTGATTTGAAGAATTTAGATGTGGAAATTGATGATGAAGATAAAGCTCTGCTGTTATTGAATTCACTGCCTGACACATATGAACATCTCGTCACCACTTTACTGTATGGTAAAGAAAAGATTAAATTCATTGATGTGTCCAATGCTTTGGTGAACAATGAGTACCGGAAGAAGGATCAGATTGTTCACAAAGAGTCAACGTCAGAAGCATTGACAGTTAAAGGCAGAACAAACCCCAGAAGATTTCGAGGGCGAGGGAGATCTCGCTCAAAATCCAGAGGAGAATCATCAAACAGACGATATCTTGCAAAAGATGAGTGTGCCTTTTGTCATAAAAAGGGACACTGGAAGAAAGATTGTCCGATCAAGGGCAATAAGGAAAAAGATGAACCAACTGTGAACGTTGCACGAGATGAGGATGAACGAGACTCTGCATTCATGGTCTCATCACCAGAAAACCATTCTGGTGAATGGATTCTTGATTCCGCATGTTCCTATCACATGTGCCCTAACAAGCACTTATTCTCGAGACTCGAGGAGTTCGATGGAGGAGTTGTGTTGATGGGTAATGATGATGTTTGTGAGATCAAAGGGATTGGGACTATCCATCTGAAGATGCATAATGGGGTAGTCAAGACACTGATAGAGGTACGGTATGTACCTGACCTGAAGAAAAATCTCTTCTCACTTGGAGTCCTAGAATCCAATGGTTATAAGATTATCATGCATGGTGGAGTCCTGAGAGCAATCCGTGGTGCATTAGTTGTCTTAAGAGACACGAGGAAAGGAAACTTATATTTCCTGGATGGATCTACTGTTACCGGTACAGCAGCTGTTTCCAAAAGCATAGAAGATGATGAAGCAGATAATTCCAGACTTTGGCACATGCGTTTAGGGCATGCTGGTGAAAAGGCTTTGCAAGGATTGGTCAAGCAAGGTCTATTAAAAGGCGCCAAGACTGGAAAGCATGGGTTCTGTGAGCATTGTGTTCTTGGAAAACAGACAAGAGTCAAGTTTGGCACTGCGGTACACAATACAAAAGGGATTCTTGATTATGTTCACACAGACGTATGGGGACCTTCAAAGAATGAATCTCTTGGAGGTAATCGTTGGTTTGTTACTTTTATTGATGATTTCTCAAGACGAGTATGGGTGTACATGATGAAACACAAGGATGAGGTCCTTGATATCTTTCTGAAATGGAAGAAAATGGTGGAGACTCAAACGGGAAGGAGAGTTAAGACTCTTCGGTCAGATAATGGTGGTGAGTACACTTTAGATCCTTTCTTTAAAGTTTGTCAGGATGAAGGGATCAAGCGACATTTTACTGTGCGCAAAACACCACAACAAAATGGAGTAGCAGAACGCATGAATCGCATATTGGTGGAGAAAGTCCGATGTATGCTATCACATTCAGGACTAAGCAAAGTGTTCTGGGGCGAGGCATTAAGCTATGCTCGTCATATTGTTAACCGGTTACCTTCAGCAGCATTAAATGGAAGAACCCCTTTAGAGGTATGGTCAGGCTCTCCTGCAAATGATTATGACTCTATGCGTATATCTGGTTGCTCAGCATATTATCATGTTACTGAGTCCAAGCTAGATCCTAGAGCCAAGAAAGCTATATTTTTGGGCTTTAGTGGAGGAGTAAAAGGTTACAGACTCTGGTGTTCTGAATCAAAGAAAGTGATTTTGAGTAGAGATGTCACTTTTGATGAGTCTGGCATGTTACAACAAGAGAAATCACAGGAGAAGGAAAAACAGTCTGGTGATGCACAACAGGTGGAGTTAGAGACTTCAGTCATTCCTATAAAGACTGTTCAGACAATCTCTACTGAAGGAGATTCAGATGAAAGTTCAGATGAAGAGGATGCAACAACTTCAGCAACCACACAACAAGAATCCATTGCAACGAGTAAACCGAAAAGAGTTATCAAGAAACCCGCTCGGTATTGTAACATGGTGGCTTATGCACTTCCGGTGATTGATGATGGAATCCCCTGCACCTACAAAGAGGCAGTACAGAGTGTAGAAAGTGCAAAATGGAAAGAGGCAATGGATGAAGAGATGAAATCTCTCCACAAGAATCAGACTTGGGATTTGGTACAACTCCCTAAGGAAAAGAAGACAATTGGTTGCAAGTGGGTATATGCTAAGAAGGAAGGTAATCCAGGAAAAGACAACATCCGTTTCAAAGCAAGATTGGTAGCAAAAGGCTATGCTCAGAAGGAGGGGATAGATTATAATGAGGTATTCTCCCCAGTTGTTAAGCATTCATCAATTCGTATTCTGCTAGCCTTGGTTGCACAGTTTGATTTGGAGTTAGCCCAACTTGATGTGAAAACTGCCTTCCTACATGGAGATTTGGAAGAGGAAATTTACATGTCTCAGCCAGATGGTTTCAAAGTCACTGGGAAAGAGAATTGGGCTTGTAAACTGAAGAAGTCACTGTATGGATTGAAACAATCTCCTCGCCAGTGGTATAAGCGATTTGACAAGTTCATGATAGAACATGGATACACACGGAGTCAGTTTGATCATTGTGTATATTTTCGCAAACTTCTTGATGGTTCTTTCATCTATTTGCTCTTATATGTGGATGATATGTTGATTGCATCAAAGAGCAAAGTGGAGATTGACAGACTGAAAGCTCAACTGAGAACTGAGTTTGAAATGAAGGACCTTGGAGAAGCTAAGAAGATTCTTGGCATGGAGATTCAGAGAGACAGAAGAAAAGGCACAATCTGTTTGACACAGACCCAATACTTGAAGAAAATTCTAAAGAGATTTGGGGTAGATGGTAAGACCAAGCCTGTAAGTACACCTTTAGCTTCTCATTTTAAGCTAAGTGCTTCAATGTCTCCACGCACAGAGGAAGAGCGCAAGCATATGGTTCAAATTCCGTATGCAAATGCAGTTGGTGCATTAATGTATGCAATGGTTTGTACGAGACCAGATATTTCACATGCAGTCAGTATGGTGAGCAGGTATATGCATGATCCGGGAAAGGGTCATTGGCAGGCAGTTAAGTGGATTCTACGGTACATTCATGGCACAACTGATATTGGTTTGAAGTTTGAGAGGGATGATAGACTCAAACAAAATTTAGTTGGTTATGTGGATTCGGACTATGCTGGTGACTTAGACAAGCGTCGTTCCACAACAGGCTATGTGTTTACACTTGCTAAAGGGCCTGTAAGTTGGAGGTCAACTTTATAATCAACAGTAGCTTTGTCAACAACTGAGGCAGAGTACATGGCAGTAACAGAAGCTTTCAAGGAAGCTATATGGTTACATGGGTTGATTGAAGATTTGGGAATTGTTCAAGAGCACGTGAATGTCCATTGTGATAGTCAAAGTGCTATTTGTCTTGCAAAGAATCAGGTTCATCATTCCCACACCAAGCACATCGATGTTCGATTTCATTTTGTTCGAGAAATTGTGGATGAAGGAGATATTCTGCTACAGAAGATTGGTACCGCAGATAATCCAGCTGACATGCTCACAAAATGTGTCTCAGGGATCAAGTTCCAACATTGTTTGGACTTGGTCAACATCTCTCAGTGTTGAGCACCTTCAGGGTGCAGCGCCATATGGCGCATTAGAGGCAGCATTGATTGATCACAAAGATTGGATGGAAAAATCTTGCCAAGGTGGAGATTTGTAGCAAATTGTCAACATTTTTTCTCAACCACCATCAACCACCCTCTCCTTTAACAACCACCATCAACCACTTCCAACCACCATTCAACCACCATCAACCACCCTCAACCACCCTCAACCAAGTTGTCAAGGCTCTCCTATAAATAGAGATAAAGAGAGAGAAATGTAATAAGTGTAGTGAAATTGTGGTGAGAGCAAAAGGGTGAAAGTGTGGTGAGTGCAACTGTGAGAGTGAGAAAATACAGATTTGAGAGAAACACCGAGTGTAAGAGTGAAACACCCGGTTAAGTGGGATTGTACTGGGTTGAGTTGAGTGTTTGTATCATTCCTCCAATAATATACAATCTGCTGCCTTCGTGGACGTACCCGATTTTGGGGAACCACGTAAATCTGTTGTTTGTGTTTTATTTGTGTTTGCTTTTGGTCCAGTATGCGCAACAAGTTCATCCTCTTTCCAACCCTCAGTGATTGCTATTATCGCTTCTTTATGCGGTGTGACCACTATTCTGTTTGCAATACTGTTCTTTCATGCTGTCTACAGAAAGTGGCCTCAGTCTGAGGCTCTTGAAGACTGGGAATTGGATTGTCCACACAGGTTTCGCTATCAAGATCTACATACGGCAACTAACGGTTTTCAAAAGAGTGAGATAATTGGGGTTGGTGGGTTTGGTGCGGTGTACAAAGGTAGATTGCCTACAAACGGAAATGAAGTTGCTGTTAAGAGGATCACTCCCAATTCAATCCAGGGTTTGAGAGGATTCACTGCGGAGGTCGGGAGCCTGGGACGTTTACGGCACAAGAACTTGGTGAATCTCCAAGGATGGTGTAAGAGAAATAATGACATCCTCGTGGTTTATGACTACATCCCAAATGGAAGCCTTGCCGGTCTCCTTTTCAGTCGGGGAAACAACTTTGTATTGAGCTGGGAGCAAAGATTCAATATTGTTAAAGACATTGCAGCAGGGCTTTTGTATCTGCATGAGGAATGGGAGAAAGTGGTGATTCACAGAGATGTCATGTCAAGCAATGTCCTGATAGACGCAGGAATGAACGGGCGGTTAGGAGACTTTGGTCTAGCCAGGTTGTATGATCATGGCACCATGTCGCACACCACAAATCTTGTTGGCACCGTAGGGTATATTGCACCTGAATTGACACGGACCGGTCAGGTTTGTACCAGTTCCGATGTGTACGCATACGGTGTTTTGCTCCCTGAAGTGGTTTGTGGCAGAAAGCCCATTGAAACGAGTAACTTCATCCTGACAGATTTCGTGATTGAATGCCATCAAAAGGGTAGAGTTCTTGATGCAGCTGATCCAGAGCTGAACTCTGCCTTCGTGGTCAAGGAAATTGAGGTGGTGCTGGGGTTGGGTCTTCTGTGTTCTCATCACAAGCCTAAAGCCAGGCCAACCATGAGAGAAGTCATACGGTATCTCAACTGGGAAGACAAGCTCCCAGTGATTGATGATCTGGGCTCTTCTGATTCTCCATGTAGGAGCACAAGATATATGGGAGAGGTTTCCATTGAAATGATCACAAGTTCCATAGATGCTGGCAGATAGCAGAATCCATCTTCCTCCTGTTTCTTCCTCGTCGACAGCCTTTTTAGCTTACAGTTGTATGTACGTTGACAAGGGTTAATTTTCAAGTCT